TTGGGGGGGGGGGGGATATTTTATTAGACCAAGGGAGAATGTTTTGTCCAATAAAAGATATGACCAAAAGAAAAATAATTTTCTTTTGTATATTTCCTGGACCATCATGGCAACAACATCATTTCAACCCTCCAGCTATGTGATGTTATTCTGAGACGCCAGTGCCATCCTCATTCAAGTTAATGGGACTCCTTCCATGGACTTTACTAGGATTTGGATCATGCTCTAAATGGATTTCATTTTTAAAGGCTGTAGAAAACCAAAAGAAATAAAAAATGTGGAGATTAAAAAGAATTTGAAAAAGCCAAGGATATTCTGATTCAGCTACATCTTAATGAACTTGAATCAGAGAAAATTATGGTGATGCACCATGGCTTCTTTACATCAAAACATAAATCTAGAAGAGTGTCATTCTTCCATTGTTCCAGGAATGAGGATAACAAGAAAAGACTGACTTCATTGGGGAGGAGGGGCAGGGGAGGATGGAATCCAGCACTCAGTGGGCCAGGACATCTTTCTGTGTAGAATGCTCTTCCAAGATGAATTTGTAACATGAAAATGCAGGGATGTTATCATCACAATGCAATACTCTATTGTAAGACTAAAGTTGCTGGAGTTCAACTCATGGCAGCTTGCTTTTTTTTTTTTAACAAAGCAACAAACAACAAAAAAACCTCCAAGCAATTCTCGGTTGGTTGAGCAGTTGATAGACATACACAAATGGGGACAAAAGATATTGTTCCTGGGTCTGTCACTGATGCTACCCCTATTGTATTACATGTTCCATTAGCAGACCATTTAAATTTCATGTATCACTGTATTTTCAAAATCCAGAAATAAATAGCACTGTGGCACCCAACCTTTTTTTTAAAAAAAAGTCAGCATTATTGACAGTATAATATGGTACCACAGGCATTTCATATTCTACATTCACTCAGGGACAAGTAGTAGTGCTGAAACTGAGTATCATAGAATCATAGAAGTAGGGTCAGACGGGACCTTGTAGATCTTCAAGTCCGACCCCCCGCCTGGGCAGGAGAAAAACTGGGCTCAAATGATCCCAGCTAGTTAGGCACCAAGCCTCCTCTTAAAGACACCCAGGGTAGGAGCCAGCACCACTTCCCTTGGAAGTTTGTTCCAGATCCTAGCCGCCCCGACTGTGAAGTAGTTCTTACGGATGTCTAATCTAAACCTACTCTCCAACAACTTGTGGCCGTTATTCCTTGTTATGCCAGGGGGCGCTAGGGGAAACAAGGTCTCTCCCAAACCCTTCTGGTCCCCCCTAGTGAGTTTATTATAGATGGTCACCAGGTCCCCCCTCAGCCTTCTCTTGTGAGTAAGTGTTCACTTTGTCCTTTAATACTGAACACTGAAAGTACACTACATGAATCTGAACCAAATCTCCATATCTGAATGTCATCAAACTCTAGTGAAATTCAGAACAGTTTCAAAACTTTGTTACTTAGATCTTTAATATTTTAATACTGAATGAAAGACATGCTCCTGGCAGACATTACAATTAAGATGCAATTAACCAGTTAATCACACCATAGATAATAAACCTTCTACTTGTTCAAGGAACTAATGGTGCGACAAAATGGGAAACCAGGCATAAAAGTACCCCACAAGAGAGGTGTCACATTTTTGTGATGGGTTTTTATCATGTCTTAAATTGAACATGTGGCAGGGTAACCAGAGCTGGCTGAAGACTCTGGTGCTGGGGCTGGCAATCAGCTGGTTGTTGGTCCCAGCCCCAGGACAGCACAGAAGTCTGGAAGCAGCTGTGCCGCAGTCCCAGGGTTGGGACTGACCATCAGGTGATTGTTACTCCCCAACTTGTGATCATGTGGGTTCAGCCAGGCTGTGGGCACCCAGCTTTCAATTTGCCAGTGCAGAAAGAGCCCAAAATTCCACACCCCCACCCTTAACCAGCATGTAGTAATGGTGCCATTAGGATCTGATCCTGATCACAAAATTACATGTGCATGGCAGAAGATGTGATTGTTGGGATTGGGTATCGGATCACATTGCTCCATTAAAAGAACATGTGCCAGGGGCCAAAAATGTAACATTCCAACAGGAAATATAAGGGTGGGGGGAGTTAATTCATCGATAAAACCTCAGATACTGAAATATCCATATGGTAACATTCAGACCTATTACTGTACCTTTATGCCTCCACAACTTTGTTTCTCTTTGGAAGCAGAAGATTCGGATTTGCATGAAGACCTGTCATTTGGCAGGATTATGTTTTTCAAGAAAAACTGAGCATTTTCTTTGGATACGTTCTCCATGTTAATATTTCCTATCTGTTATCTAGAAGATATTAAGAATACTATATATTTTAAAAGTATCACCTATAGGCTCATTACTGAAAGCTTGCCATATGCAGATAACAGTTATTAAAATTCACAATAAAAACAGAATGGTGGGCTGAAAAATTCATTATGGAAATTTGCAATCCAACTATCTACTGAAGAGAAACCATACTTTTATAAACAATATGTAACCATTGTCTTCATTCTCTATGGGTGCTACATAGATTTGATGTTATCAGTTATTCATACTTAACTAAACATTGCCCATGAACTTCCATTAGAATGTTTAGTCTTTTAGGTGAATTCCAGATGTTTACAGAGATTCATCAACTCTAATACTAATTTCCCATGGGCTTGGAATATTAGGGAAAGAAATCAATGACAAAAGCAAGTCCAATCTTATTAATGCAGGATTCCAACTTCATTGTTTTGGAAATTAACATTAGTTCTACCCATCTGATATTTGTTACTGACCAAGATGAGAAAAAATATTGCCTTAACACCCTAACGTAATCTTAGGGCTTTCGATCTTAATAATCTTGTCAACCACGGCAGGAAAAAATCTGAATTTACATCTTGGCAGCTAAATGTAAGAATACAAATTAAAGGATAAATTTTGTGTCCAAATATTAGGATATCACCATTCTTAAAAACATACTTAAATATACCACAATGCTCTGTTAATTATTTCAGTTCCTAAACTGATACACAAAATACTTTTTCAGTGAGTTTTTGTGTTCATCTTTAAGCATCCCTAGAAATAAACTAGCTTTGGAATATATTATTATTAATTATTATTATTATTATTATTATAGCAGTTTCCCACAGGCAAAGTTTAAAACAAACACCATCTAAATGGCCTTGGGCCAGTCAATGACCTCTGAGACAGCAGTGGTCAGGTTGAGAAGCTCCTCAGAGAAACCAACATGAAAGGAATGGTCATTCAGCATGCATATGCAACCTGCATAGAATCATAGAACTATAGAAAATTAGGGTTGGAAGGGACTTCAGGAGGTCATCTAGTCCAAACCCCTGCTCAAAGCAGGGCCATCCTCAACTAGATCATCCAAGCCAAAGCTTTGTTTAGCTGGGTCTTAAAAACTTCCAAGGATGAAGATTCCACAACCTCTCTGGGCAACTTATTCTAGTGTTTTACTACCCACATAAGGAGAAAATTTTTTCTAATATCTAACCTAAACTTCATTGCTGCAACTTGAGATGATTTGCTCCTTGTTCTGTCATCTGCCACCACTGAAAATAGTCTAGCTCCATCCTCTTTTGAACCCCCCTTCAGGTAGTTGAAGGCTTCTATTAAATCCCTTCTCAGTCTTCTCTTCTCTAGACTAAATAAGCCCATTCCCCTCAGCCTCTCCTCAGAAGTCATGTGCCCCATCCCCCTCACCATTTTTGTTGCCCTTCACTGGACTCTTTCTAATTTGTTCACATCCTTCCTGTAGTGGGGGCCCAAAACTGTACACAGTATACCAGATGTGGCCTCACCACTGCTGAATAGAGGGGAATAATCATTTCAATTGCCCTGCTGGCAACACTCCCACCAATGCAGCCCAGTATGCCATTGGCAACACGGGCACACTTAGCTCATATTCAATATATTGTCCTTTGTAACCTTCAGGTCCTTTTCTGCAGAGCTGCTATCCAGCCAGTCAGCCCCCAACCTGTACTGATGCATGGGAGTGCTCCATCCTAAGTGCAGGCCTTTGCAATTGTCCTTGTTGAACTTCATGAGATTCTTTTTGGCCCAATCCTCCAATTTGTCTAGGTCAGTCTGAATCCTAGCTCTGCCCTCCAGTGTATCTACTACTCTCCCCCAGTTTGTTGTCATCTGCAAACTTGCTGAGGGTGCACTCTACGCTATCTTCTAGGTTGTTGATGAAGATATTGAACAAAACTGGCCACAGGATGGACCCCTGGGGAACTCCACTTGATACCGGCTGCCAACTAGACATCAAACCGTTATTACTATCCTCTGAGCCTGATGCTCCAGCCAGTTTTCTATCCACCTTACAGTCCATTCATCCAGCTCGTACTTCCTTAAAGCATTACAGGTATGCAATGGGGCATCTCAATCTTGACACAATGAACCATATTACATTAGAATTAGAAGCAGCATCTGAGCAAAAAGCCATGAAGATGTTCACTTGGCCAGATGACAGTACGATAGTAGTAGCAGATGCCCTCTATCATTCTTTCTACTGCACTGAGCTGGTGATGATTTTAGTTGGCTGAAGAGAGTGCAGCATTGTTACAGCAGCTGGTGGCAGGCATGCTATTTGTTGGGGCCTTCTGATACTAGGTGTTGGCTAGGACTGTTAACCTTACAAGATTTGTTGGCTTCAATATTCATGTGATAATTCTGAAAGTATGAATTAATCTTTATGTCTACTAACCTGGTATGGGCAAGGCTTATCCAAACTGGACATGGTATTTGCCAAGTAGCAAACTGTGAGCACTTCTTTAATGAGTTGGATTCTGTATAGGATCTAGGTATACTGACTGTATTGTGTACTAATTGCTGAGCATTCAAGAAGATGTTAAGCTAAAGTTGGGTCCGAGCATGGTGCAAGTGGAAACATGTTGGTTTTTGATATACTTGGCCTCAGTCTACATCGCTTAAAATTCCAGCAGGTTTTCATCGATCATTTATAGTCCATTATAGCTGCTCATCCTGGCCTGCTACTGTACAGATGACCACCCAAACTGGGGAAGGCTGGTCAAAGGCCCTCTGCTCTGTCCTTATCACTGGAGTGGCCAGTTGGGATCAGCTAAATCTCCACTTCCGCCATATAACCTCCTGAGCAGGAACAGGGTATGTTTGGGCAACAGGGCTCAACCTCAACCCAAACCACTTTGCTGTTCCCTCTGGTTTGCTCTCTGACTGCTTCCTGCCCGACCTTCTGGCTTCCTGATTTCACTTTTTCCTAAACCCACTCTGTTCTCAGATTGACTTCCTGGCTTCCGGACCAGCTTCTACCTGAATTCTGCCTGCTCCACCTGACCGTGGTTAGCACATCAATCTCCAGGTGGCCCCAGACCTGCTGGCCCATTACCTGGCATGATACTCCAAAAGTCTGTAGCTACAACTCAGGAATAATATTGATTTATTGCTGGCTCCTAGAAGATGTTTGTCTGGCATTGGTACAGTTGTCATACCAAGGAGTCCCACAGCAACCTACAGCTTACAGGCTGGATCCAGTCTGCAAAAGGATTTTTTCCAGTCTGCGATGCATGGAAGTTTATATATCCTACAGTTAGCCGAATACACTTTACATGAATGGCAAGAATGCTCTATCTAATGACAGAATGTCTAACTGCCACCTCTGGCCTGCCTTAAAACCCAGCTCTGTTAATTGGACCCCATGGTAGTGAAATATTGCCAACCTCTGGCCTTAAATTTTCTTGGATATTATCTTAGCCATATCTTGGATACCTTAGTCTCTTGAGTAAAGCAGGATATACAAATGAACAGCTAGCATTAGTTTTGTTTCCCAAGATGTCTCTGTCATTCTGTCAAGGTTTTCCCTGGTTTAATCAATTTCATCATCTCTTCTATTTCTTCCAGAGAATGTGACTGTACACTTTTGTTTAGCTGAGATGTTTGTATTGATACCAGTTTTCAATCAACTCCTTGCCATGCATCTAATCATTACAACTAAAGCAGAAGAAAAGGAAGTACACTTTTGGAACATGTGATGCCTCCTGAGTCCATTCCAATCTGGAAGGGCACCTGGAAGAATAATGGAGGTGACAGTATCATTTTCCTGGAAGCCAGAGGCATCAGAGAGAAATTAGAGAGGATGAAATCCTCCCCAGCCTCCTCATATATGTGGCAGGTCTTGAGGCATTGCAGATATCCATTATATTCCAGAGGAACTTCGGAGGAGATTCTAATTTGCTAGACACTGTTACTCAGAAATCTCATTAATACTGCAATCTCGGCAAAGATTGTCTAATAGGAGGGCATTCTAAGAAAT